TTCTACCACATACTTTGAAGCCTTCAAACAATGCACCTGTTTACTGTCTGCCTTTGCTAAATACATTTCTCACATTCCACCGGTTCCATTCAACCCAGAAAAAGTGCAAAAAGAGGCTTGAAGTGCCTTTTCTCCCCATAGCTTCGGAGAGCAGAGAGATACACAATGATCCCTTGAGAACTACCTGGAATTGGAAGAGAGGTGAAGGAGGCGGGTGTAGGGGGGACAATGTCTGTATTGTCTGGTTTCTATTGGTAGCCAGTAGCGTATCGGTGCGGCTGTGCTTGTGAACAACTGTTTCACCTGTCAGAGGAGAAGTCGGAGCACTACTAAATGATTTGTAGCTAGAAGGTGGAGCTCAATAGATCCCCTGGACGTGGAGAAGGAAGCAAACTTTGAAAAAAATGCGTCAACTCACACTTTCTGATATGGGGGGGGGGGAAACAAACCCATTTGATAAATATAATATATATTTACATTAAATACACAAATAGTAAGAAATAGCAGCCTAGACAATAGTGTTGAAATTATATGCATGCTAAAAAGAAGTGCTTCTCTGTGTTCCATGTGAGACATATGGATAAAACTCTGGAGAGATTTTCCAAAACATTATATATTAAAATACGATTACAGTAAGTTGATTTGCACAGAGAGAAAAAAAAAAGAAAAAAAAAACAAACCGACAGACCCAACACCAGTTAATGTGTACCAACATCGCTAGGCAAAACAACAAAAAAACAAACACCTAAAAGTAAACCCTGAACCAAGTCCAACTAATAAATAAGTTCTGATCAAGTCTTTTCAGGACAGATTAGATGAATATTTTGAACTTTTAGTGCTACTCCCAAGTTAAGAATCCATAACAGCACCTATGCATAAACAAACAGAACCATTTTTTGCCCATAAAGAGACAAAGGCTTCATCAGTAGTAACTTAGACACATACAGAGGTGCAAAACAAGGAGAAAATTCAGTAGAAGCAGCTAAATGGTAAATGTTTGATGCTTTCTAAATTTGATTCCGCACCATCAGTGTACCTTTTGTATCATACCAAAAATAAATAACAAGGTCTTTTACCAGCCAAATAACTGACCCAATTGAGTCAATAAAACAAACCAGATTTATTTTAGAACATATTGCCTTTTTTCAGTGACTGGTAATGCTGTTGGATCATTTTTTAAAAAGACACTTGTTATTCCTCGGCATTTGAAGATAATCCACATTTTTTTAAAGGCTTCAACAGTTTAAAAAATAAAAGCGTAGCAACATGTGCTAATTTAGGAAGGACACTAGATTAAACATTAGGAATTTCATTAGGCAACAGAGTTACAGACGTTAGTTTAATACCTTTCTAGAGATGCACTGATCAATATGTCAGAGCTGAAAATCAGGCAATTTCCCTTAATCAGATCTGATCAGATTGGATAGTTGCATACTGTAGAAAATCAGTTTCCCCCTTATTTATTAAATGGATATTAACTAAGAACATTTTTGGTCTGTCCTGTTTTTGCATACAGAAACAAGACAGACTAACTGATTTGTGATTATTTTTGTGCAGATGATTTAACTCGCAGCATTAATTAAAAAAAGAGAATTTCTTCCATAAAATATGTTTGATGGATAGATTATATTCAGTCTCTGATGATGACAATATAAATTACTACAGATGCACCGATCCAGTTGGGCCAGAGCCAGATATCAGAAATGATATCTGGCCCTGATCTGCTCAAATTTGTAATAAACATGTCAAACATTGAAAAAACATTTTTTTTTTTTTTTTTTTTTTTTTTCAATTATAAATATCTATTTAAACTCAAAAAAAAAAAAATTAAAGGACTTT